TCATAACAAATGACATGACATACGCCACTTAGATTCTGTGGCATTGTATTTTTTCAATTTGGCTTCAAATTTCTTCACAAGATACGTTTTATTTAGATATTATTTAATGTAGTAAAAACAATAAATTATGATGGATAAAATATTTAAAATAAGAGAGAGTTTATATGTACTATCTTTATTTTCAGTTCGTCATGTTTATTGCAACCGTTTTAGTTATTGTTATCCAAGCGGAAATAAGTAAATAATTTTATCAAACTATGACAAAGTTTGTAAATAAATATATAGTTTAAAATATAATATTTCACAAGATACATATTTTATAAGTAAGTATTTTGAATTTATTCTGATACTTTCATATTGTGGGAGAAAAATAGAAAGAAATAATAATAATTAATTAATAACATCATATGTAATAAAAGAGTAATGAAAGAATAATAAAAGATTATTGAATATTATTTGTTATGCTTTTATATCAATATCTGTCTGCAGACCCAATTATCTCTATCAACATAAAATTAAATCTTTGTATATTAATTTTTATATATTGTTACTCAAATAATGTAATTTTTAATAGGAAGAAGCACTTTATAATTGCATACATTTATCGTACTTTTACATTATGTATTTATTACACACACACACACACACACACACACACACACAACTGCAATTGTAATTAAAATTTGTCTCTTTAATACACTTCCACATACGTACTAGATATAACACTACATAAAAAGCATCAGCTCAAAACATAAAAAACACAAATCTAATTTCTTATAAACACATCTGTTTTGAGTAAAAACAAAAATACACCCACTACTCGTCCAGTTTCAATGAATAGTAATGCATAAATTGGAGTAGATTGATTACTTTAATATCCTTAAGTGCCTTAATTGAAATTATCTACTAAATTATCTACTACAATGTCAGCATTCGATACAACTTATACAATCAACTGATCAAGAAAAGTACAGTTTAAAATAGAAATTGTACGTGCAATGGCTAAAAGTATTCGTACGATTTTAATGCCATTTTTAATATTAAGTTATGTTTTTGGCCTAAGAATTGCTAATTTATCTAATCATTTAAAACTATGGTTTAGTGTCATATATATGCTGTTAGTTTGGTCGATTTATTATTTGCTTTCATCATCTGCATTGGTAATTTCTATTCTTAAATTGTATTCCATCGAAAACAACATTTTCTATTACATACAAATCTTTATATCCTTATGGACAATTTTGTTTGGGATATACCATAATAAGGTAAAAAGACGTTGCAATTTATGTAATTATTAATAAGCAATTGTTGAAATACATGAAATTATTATTATAAATTAATATTTATACAATAATTTTTATTTATATTTATATAATATAAATTATTAATAATAAACAATTTTCTGCCGTATCCATTTACACAATTAACTGCATTATATTATATCATATATAAAAATTAAAATTTATAATAAACATTAAATTCTATCTTTATTTAATAATAAAAACAGCCATTAAAATACAAAGTTTTGATGTATTATTATAACATTTAGATATCATAAACGTTAATAAAATTTTTTCTCAAATATTTATTAAAATTATTCATTCAAATATGTGAGAATATATGTATAGAAGTAACAAAATAATAGACTCTTATACCTACATATGTCCATAAAATATATAATATGCACTATTAGAAATAAGATCAATATAAATGTGAAATTTTCATATAAATAATAATTTTTCTATTTCGCATTTTTGTAACAGAAATTCCAAAATTGTTTGAAAAAACTTGATATTGTTGACAATACATTGCTTAAGTTAGAAACAACGACAGATTATGATAAACTTTGCAAAAAAACAGTAAAGCTTGTCTTAGGATGGTTCGTCATACTCATATTAACTATATACTATTCAGCTTCATTAATGAAAGATGAATATGATTGTGATATTACAACAGCTATACTTTTCATCTTTATACGAGACTACATTTTTCACATTAATCTTATTGGTGATTTGACTACTGCAATTATCCTTGAGTTAGTACATCTTTTTACATATACTTATTGCCACATTAATTACATCGTAGTTATTTATATATCAATCAGTAAAACTATATTATAATGCATAAATATTCATGATTTCTGAAATTTTTTAAAAATGTCAGTAAAATATAGCTACATTTTGCAATTAACAATTTCATTTTCCATCTATTTTCCTTATATTTAGATACACAGGACTAAAGTTTGATCAAATCAATAAACACCTTCAAAATTTAATAAAAAATAAAAAACACAAAATAAAACGGGCTTGGGAAAATTCTACCGGACACAGATTTTCGAAATTAAGCAGCAAATGTATAGTATGGATCGTTATGTAAGAAATTTAACATAAATCATAATAATTGTGACAATATCACAAAACAAATTTAATATTTACGTAAGAAGTAATATAAATACATGTAGAATTAAACCCTACATTTTTACGTGCATGTTTAGACATCTTCATTTAGAGTTGCGCAAAATATCCTGCGAAATAGATTCAATATTTGGAACACAAATGACTTTTAAAATGGCATACTATTTTGGTTGCATAGTGTTTGACTTGCGAGAACTTTTAAACGCAGTACTTATTAACAATCATGTGAAATCTAGAATATTGGCCATCACTGTGCATTCAGTCTGGTTTATTCATAATGTTTTCAAGTTTTTGCTCATTAATTATATGTGTGAAACAGTCACCTCCAAGGTATTAAAATTACATTTAATTTCAGAAAATACAAATTTGTAATTTATTTATAAAAATCAAATCAATTTAAAATCTAAATTAGAAGCTTCTTTAATTACATTCAGTATATTATTACAATTTCAGGCAATTGCAACAGCAGATTTATTAAATAGATTATTATATTTCACTTCTGACATTGAAATTCGTGAAATCGTAAGTTTCAAAATAAAGTTGGAATATTATTGAAATAAATATTTAGTGTAAAAGCAGAAATAAAAACCAATTAGATTTGCATTAAAAATAATGCATTTTTAATACAGATTTCACAGTTTTCATCACAAATAGTTTATGCACCACTTCGATTCTGTGGAATCGGATTTTTTGAATTTGGCTTTAAATTTCTTCGACAGGTACGTTATATTTATCATATGATTGCAAACTACAAATAATCAAATTGACAAATATTTAAAAAAGTGCTTACACACTATCTTTATTTTTAGTTTATCACATCTGTTGTAACGGTTGTAATTATAATAATACAAGCACAAGCATAAGTGAACTGCAGCAAAATTTATAAAAAATAGTTTAATGATAAACTATGTATAGCTGTGATCAATTGCAACGTAGTCAAACGGGATGCTTCCTATTGTTGTACTGACGGTAACTTTTATATGTCTAAAATGTTATTTTAGATATGGTACAAAACAGAATGTAACTAGTTGCAATTACAGTTATTGATTTAGAAAAGATAACTAGTTACATAAGTAGATATGCAAAAAAGAATCTAGATACAGTAACTATATACTTATAAGATACCTTACAACACTGATAATTATGACGTGATGTTTAATGTTTATAGTTAATTAAACATTAATTACGGCGATTTATCTTGTGAAATTTAACATTATAAACATCTTCACTTGAATTTTACAAATAAACCGGAATTAAAATATATGGAAAAGTGGACTTAAAATTTGCAATCTAAATGACTTTTAAAATGGCGTGCTATTTTAACTGGATAGTAATTGACTATATGTATAGTTTAATCCGCAATAAATTTTCATAATTATGTAAAATCTAATAAAATATAGCATGTTGTTCTATATTATTATGGTTTTTTTTTCATATTTGCAAATTTTTGCTAATTAATTACGTGTACAAAACAGTCAGCACCGTATTTATTTTAAATTTATTTTTAATAAAAATTGTATTATTAAGAGATATCCAATTTTAAATGGCTAAATTAAGAACGACTTCAATTTTATTCAATATATTCTAAATTTTAGGCAAGTGCAACAAGAGATTTATTAAATAGATTATCATATTCTACATTTGACGTTAAAGTCCGTGAAATCGTAAGTCTTAAAATAAGTTAATCATAAACATTCTCGGAAAAACCATTGAGTAGTGTCTAAATAAATAAAAATACTAAACAGAATATACATTAATATTAATCTATTATATAGATTACACGATTTTCATTACAAATGACATATACGCCACTTAGATTATGTGGAACTACATTTTTTCAATTTCCTTCAAAGGACCTCTCACAAAACTAGTAGAAACGGCCGAATTTTTAGTATGTTGAAGACAGGGACGGCGCGAGAGATGGGCGACCCGGGCGATCACCCGGGGCGTTGGCGCGGCGTGCGTACTAATACAACATTAAAAAAATACAATCAAAAAATAAAAAAAAATTATCAAAAACAATTTAATTTCTGATATATAAACACATCTGTTTCGAGTAACAAATATATATATATACACCACTACCCGTCCTGTTTCGATAAATAGTTAATGCATAAATTATACTAGATTGATTACTTTAATATCCGTAAGTGCCTTAATTGAAATTATTTTACTAATGTTACCGTTCGATACAATTTACACAATCAACTTATCAAAAAAAGTGCAGTTTGAAATAGACATCGTACGTGCAATGGCTAAAAGTATTCGTACGATTTTAATGCCATTTCTAGTGTTGAGTTATGTGTTTGGCTTAAAAATTGCTAATTTATCTAATCATTTAAAACTATGGTTTAGTGTCATATATATGCTGCTAGTTTGGTCGGTTTATTATTTGCTTTCATCATCTGCATTGATAATTTCTATTCTTGAATATTATTCCATCGAAAACAACATTTTCTATTACATACACATTTTTATATCCTTATGGACAATTTTGTTTGGGATATACCATAATAAGGTAAAAAGACGTTACAATTTATGTAATTATTAATTAGCAATTGTTGAAATACATTAAATTATTAATATAAATTAATATTAATATAATATAAATTATTAATAATAAACAATTCTCTGCAGTATCTATTTGCACAATCAACTGCATTATATTATATTATATATAAAGATTATAATTTATAATAAACATTAAATTCTATGTTTATTTAATAATAAAAACTGCTACTAAAATACAAAGTTTTGATGTATTATTATATCATATAGATATCATAAACACTAATCAAATTTTTTTCAAATATTTATTAAAATTATTCATTCAAATATGTGAGAATATATATAGAAATAAGAAAATAATAGACTCTTATACATATGTCCAAAATATATAATATGCACTATTAGAAATAAGATCAATATAAACGTCAAATTTTCATATAAATGATAATTTTTCTACTTTATATTTTTGTAACAGAAATTCCAAAATTGTTTGACGAAACTTGATATTGTTGACAATACATTGTTTAAGTTAGGAACAACGACAGATTATGATAAACTATGCAAAAAAACATTGAAGCTTGTCTTAGGATGGTTCGTCATACTCATATTAACGATATACTATTCAGCTTCATTAATAAAAGATGAATATGATTGTAACATTACAACAGCTATGCTTTTCATCTTTATACGAGACTACATTTTTCACATTAATCTTATTGATGATTTGACTACTGCAATTATCCTTGAGTTAGTACATCTTTTTACATATAGTCACATCAATTACATCTTAGTTATTTATATTTCAATCAATAAAACTATATTATAATGCATAAATATTCATGATTTTTGGAATTGTTCAAAAATGCCAGTAAAGTATAGTTGCATTTTGCTATTAACAATTTCATTTTTCATCTATTTTCCTTATATTTAGATACACAGGATTAAAGTTTGATCAAATTAATGAACACCTTCAAAATTTAATTAAAAATAAAAAACACAATATAAAACGGGCTTGGGAAAATTCTACCCAACACAGATTTTCGAAATTAAGCAGCAAATATATAGTATGGATCGTTATGTAAGAAATTTAACATAAGTTGTATTAATTGTATTAATATATATCACGGAAAAAAATTAATACCTATGTAAGAAGTAATATAAATACATGTAGAAATAAAACTTTACATTTATACGTGCATGTCCAGACATCTTCATTTAGAGTTGCGCAAAATATCCTGCGAAATAGACTCAATATTTGGAACACAAATGACTTTTAAAATGGCATACTATTTTGGCTGCATAGTGTTTGACCTGCGCGACCTTTTAAACGCAATACTTATTAACAATTATGTGAAATCTAGAATATTGGCCATCACTTTGAATTTAGTCTGGACTATTCATAATGTTTTCAAATTCCTGCTTATTAATTATATGTGTGAAGCAGTCACCACCAAGGTACTCAAATTTAATTTTAGGAAATATAAATTTATAATTTGTTTATAAAAATCAAATCAATTTATGTACTATTTATATCTAATTTTAAAACCAAATTAGAAACTTTTTTAATTACATTCAGAATATTACAATTTCAGGCAACTGCAACAGCAGATTTATTAAATAGATTATCATATTTTACTTGTGACGTTGAAATTCGTGAAATCGTAAGTTTTAAAATAAATTCATTAGTGAAAATATTATTAAAATAAATTTCATGTAAAAGTAAAAATAAAAATCAACTAGATATGCATTAAAAGTAATGTATTTTTAATACAGATTTCACAGTTTTCATCGCGAATAGTTTATGCACCACTTAGATTCTGTGGAATCGGATTTTTTGAATTTGGCTTTAAATTTCTTCGAAAGGTACGTTATATTTATCATATGATTGCAAACTACAACTAATCAAATTAATAAATATTTAAAAAAAGTACTTACACACTATCTTTATTTTTAGTTTATAACATCTGTTATAACCGTTTTAATTATACTAATACAAGCACAAGCAAATGAGTAAACTGCAGCAAAATTCATAAAAAATAGTTTAATGATAATCTATATGTAATGTTATGTATAAAATGCATTATGCAATATCATTTAGACTTGGTTCGACATCTCTGTAATAGTATTAACTATTGAGAAAATGGATAACTAAATAAATTATTAATAATAATTTGAGTAGTAAAAAAGTTAAAGATAAGTGTTCTTTAATGTTTTAATATTAATTTTACATTGTATGATGTTTTTTATAATTAAAAGGATCATTCTTTACATAAAGTTTTTTATATATAATCCATGGCCGTATTCGTACAATTAGATATTATCATATTTTACAATTTCCCGTTTCCCAAAAATCGTCAAATGAAAAGATGAATAACGATGACTTCAGACAGCGATCTTAATTTTAAAACTTGGACACTTTACATCAGAAAAGAAACGTTACGTGTTTTTTTTTAATAAGACTAATGTAATCGATTATATTTGAAAAATTTGTGTTAACGGCTGACGTATGTAAAGTCAAAATGTTTCGCTCTAATTTTATCGAATAAAATTATACAATTATATTACAACATCTTTGTTTGCTTGTTTTATTGGCTTTTATATTCTCTAGTCTCTATTTGAATAATATTCATATTTTTTGTTACATGTCTGCTGCGTGTTAAAACAGGTGACATATACATCATTTTATTTCAATAGAGTGTGACATGTAAATTGTAATAGATTTTAATATCTATAAGGACCTTAAGTGAAATTGTATACACACTATTGTTACCATTCTATATAACTTATGGAAACAACTGGCCAGGAAAAGTGCAGTTTGATCATTTTATCAACGGCGTGTGCAATGACCGAAAATATTCGAACAATTTTGAAGCCACTTTTAATAATCAGTTATGTGTTTGGTTTAAGAATTGCTAATTTATCTATAAATCGCATAAAACTGTGGTTTAATCTTTTATATATGCTGCTAATTTGGATAGTTTACTATTATCTTTTAACATCTCCATTACTACATTCTGTTCATAAATTGTATTCAATTGAGTTCGAAATATGCAAATTGCTAGAAATATTTGTAAACTTGTTGTCAATCTTGTTTGGTGTTTACTATGATAAGGTAAGTAAATATATATGTTAATAGATATAATCATTACTATAATAAACAATTCTGAATGTATTTCTACAGTTACGATATTTAAAGTAAAATATTGATAGTATGCATTGTATGATAAAATCCTTCAAATCTGCACTCCAAATCCAAGTGTATAAATCTATAGTCACTTTTTACGCATTTATACGCGTGTTATATTTTTACACATTTTATCTGTGTTTTACACGGTTAAATACATATTTTTACACGCTTAATTTTACAATAATATGTGTAAGCGTGTAAAAAATATGCATTTAACTATGTAAAACACAGATAAAATGTGTAAAAATATAATACGCATTTACATGCGTAAAAAGTGACTATAGATTTACACATTTGGATTTGAAGTCTGATAAAATTATTATTTAAAAAAAATTCTGTAAGAGAAAACATATTAAAAAATTAAAAGTTTTTGATAACGAAAGTACATTTGACATTAGATACATAAACTATGATAAATATCATTACGTTTCTAAATAAGTAATTATTTATTACCGCGTTTGCACGTCTAATTGCATTCTTTTTAGAAATTCCAAAACTGTCTGAAGAAACTCGATATTGTTGATAATACACTACTTGAACTTGGAACAGTGACAGATTATAACAAGTTATATAAGAAAACACTGTGGCTCGTCTTAGGATGGTTCGTAATAGTCATATTAACGAATATTGTAACGGCTCTCAATGTAAATGTTGAACATGATTGTGACTTTCTGATTGGCATAATTGTCGTCTCTGTACGAAGTCATTCTTTTCATATTAATATTATCGGTGAATTGATTACTACAACTATTCTTGGGTTAGTAAAACAAATACAATTTCTTAATATATGGCGTGTGTGAAGTTAGCATTCCAACATTAAAATTCCATAGTTCTGAGTTCCCGGTTCATTTTAAAGAGGTGAAGAGTTCCCTATAATTTATAATAAGTTTTACTTAATAACAATTTTTAATTTAAATTTAAAAAATAGGGTATAGTGTTAACTTCTTATCAAAATTTATGATCGAATACTTCTGAGCGGCTTAATAGCTTCTGCGTGAATATCTAGAGTTCCGAATACATAAAATAAAATTTCGTTTTATTAAAAAAATTAAAAATTTTTTTAAACCAAATTTTTAAATTTAGTGCTGTGACATTTTAATTGTTATCTTCTTTATTTCGAAAATAGCTTAATTTAAAAAATATATAAAACCAAAAATAAAAAATATCTAGACTTAAAACGAAATTTCAAAAACTAATAATAAAACATGTATCTCCTTATTTAGACATCCAACCGCGTTGAACCATAAAACTTTTCGTCAGAACTTGTCGAGAACTACAATCCAGAACCCCAGTCAGAACTATTCGTAACTCTTCACACACGCACGTATATGACAGTTATTCCACAACTTAATTATGTATATAAATTAATAAAACTAAATCGTCAGCTATAAAAATTTAATCACTATCGAAATATTCTCAAAGTTCATATATTTCTCTTTTAATAAAATTATTCATTAATTTTCTCTTATATATTTAGATACATAGGATTAAAATT